TTCCTTAACAGCAACCCAGGCAATCTTGAAGCATGGCCCAGCCACCCGGGCTTGCCATCGTGGTATGATCCCAGGAGGCGTCCAGGAGCAACATACACCTGAAATTACAAAAAATAAAATAAAATTAAGGGTCCAAGGACCCAAATAATAGGGTACGGTTTTAGGACCCAAATACTATAATATTAATGGTATTTGGGCCCTAAAACCCTATTATTTCGGTCCTTGGACCCTCAAGGAAAATTAAGAGAGCTGACTACGGTTTTGGATTTAAGGTTTAGGGTGCTAGCTTCTTTAGGGCGGTTAGTTATGGGGTCTAGGAAGCATTTACACCCCAGCACCTAAACATTGTGAGGGCTGTGCGCGCTGAAGCACGTGGAGAAAGCGTACAGCGGAAGGCAAAATATTCTGAGGGTGTTCTTATTGTTAGAAAGTTAAACTGTCCATAGCTAATTGCTTCCCAGTGTTCCCAATTTTTCGAATCAGCGTCCTTGGAGGGGATTGAAAGCAGGCCATGAAACCACCTAAAATTGGGGTTCTATGCTTTGGGGTCTGAAACTTAGAGCAGAACCCAAGAATTTGTGACTTGCAGTCCTAGACGCGCGTGGTATCTCACCAGCGGGCTAGCCGACACAAGGCCAGTAGATCCAGTAGCAAGGAATTCAGAACACATTTGGGGTTGCACGTACCAGAGGGTTGAGGGGTAAACACCCACAGTCGTAGTCTTCAATCCATACCTGGGCCTTGAAGTCCTACTTTTTCTAGGAGATACCATATGAATATGTAAGAAAGAGCCGTAGGAAAGGAGGGACATGCAGGGTCCAGGCATTTGAGATTTCAGTCTCTCTTACAGGTATGTAGAATTTTTAGGTAAGGGTCTATGGGATCTTGAGATAGGCTAGGGGGCCAGGCCTTAACTTTGAGGGTTGAGGTTGGGAGTTTAAGGTTCTGGGGTTCAAGTTGGGTGTTTTAGGGCTTAGCTTCAGAGCTACGGTCTTTATATGGTTGAGGTTAGGTTAGGCGTCCTAACTGGGGCATTATATTGCGGACTAGATGATCAGACCAAGAAGGACCACTATGTCCACCTTAAATAATGGTCCCTTGGTCGCCCTAATACCGACACTAGCTCAAATGACAGCTGGACTATCCAGCCTACTACTGTACAGCATACTTGTCAAATTTCTGCGGACAAGAATGTAGAAAGGGTTTTCCACGCAGGGCTGTCGGCAGGTTGTGGGCACACTGGGTTCTAGGTGTTAGGTTTGCTTGGAAACAGAACCCTGAGGACCCAGATAAAAGATGGAATCTGGAGGGCCTGAGTACCCTAGTATTTATTGGTAATTTCCCAAAATAAGGGGACCCCAATATAGACCCCAACATACTATAGCCCTTATTATTAGGACCCCCCAAAATGGTACCCCGAATTTTGGGAAAGCCCTTATTCGGCCGACTTAACAAAATCCTGGATGACCCTCTTTCTCCTGCAGGCTCAGAATAATGGATGAACCTATTCTTTCAAGTCTCTGGAAACTGGAAATATGACAAGGTAGCACCGCTACTGCCCCCGGAAGGTAGCAACAAAACAGTATTCGACTATCCTTTAGAGGTATAGTGTGTCTCCGATGGATAGGGTGAAGATATACGCAATGATAAGGTACTAGAGTATTGTTCGTAAACACGTCAGGACATTCAGACTGGACCACGGTAATCTGCTTTGTAGCACCCATGTGCGCTTGGGCTGCAAGCTTCCAGACCTCCTGTGTTAAAATGCTGGCCAGCAACAAGGTGACAAGCAATGTCCAAATCGGCCCAGCAATGATGGAACACCCCAACAGGACAATCGCAAAGACTGATATTGGGCGGAACCACGGTCTAGGGATGTCTCATTCCTTTGTGCGTGTTATTGCCAATATTTAGCATTTTTACTTCTATTATTGATACTACGTGTTGATGTTATCATGTAAACAAAGTAGATGGATCAACACGGCTCTCCACCCAGAAGCCCGGCTCAAAGATTCAGGCAGTTTTACCTTTATGGACACAGCCCTCTGTGAGCCTGACAAGGAGGGCCCTTTGACAGGGCTGAAGCTAGGCACAAAGCCTATAGGTGTTGACTAATTATGAGACATAAATACATGTACTTATGCAACTTATGTAACTAGGGGGCAGCTGTATTAGAATCCCCCGTGCTATTCCCGAAATCCATAGGTGGAACCAGCAGTGCATGTCGTACTTCAGGCACGGACAGGAACCCAACTTAGTGAGGTAGATCTTAGTGGATCCCCCCACCCTGTAATGGAATAGGGCTATAAAAGGGCTCAAATATCAAAACCCTCTACCCTTACTCCTACACACGAAATCCTAAACCCTAAGCCCTAAGCCCTAAACACAATTCCTGTATGGTCACTATTACTGGGTGGGGGGGTCCACCTACGGTAGATGGCTGCCCAGGCCATAAACCCAAACCCAAGAGGACAAGAACTAACAATGCACAGGTCTAGGGTTTGGGATTCAGGATTTAAGTTCAAGTTTGGACTGGACCTTCCAACTCTGAGCGTCGTACAAAGGCATAGTCCAGCACATGGTGGTGCACATCCTCGAAGCGTCCTTCCCCTGGCTCGGGATGAGGATTTCAGGCTGCTGGGGCTCAAGGGATGAAATACTGTTAGGGATCGAAACAGGGAGGTTTGGGACTGAAATACTTTTATGGGTATGCAAGATTGGGAGTGAGAAATCCTATGGTTTATAGCTTTTGGTCCCTGAGCCCGAAACGGATACCGGATATCCTACACGCGGCGCGAACATGTGCTCCCCCCAAAGAGCCGCACAAGTATTCCCTTTCAACCAATCGACTCGAAAGCGCCTTTTCTGGACCAAATGCTTTGTTTCTGTGATAGGCTGCCACTTCATAAACTCATTTTGCCCTAGCTAGCTGATGTCTCTAACTGGCGGCAATTTCCAGCGACCTCTTGCAGCATCATTGGAACCAGTACAGAAACTAGTACAGAAGAGAAGCCTTAGAAGGACCCCTATATACCCCGTGGCTAACCCTATGACTGTGCGTCTGGGTCGCCTGGGGCCAGGAAGAAGTCCCAAACCCGACACAGACGGTTCTCGAAAAGGAGCTCCGTGCCTGAGCTGGGTCAGGGCAGCAGTTCCCAAGCCGAGAACTGAAGTTAGCTTAAGCCCGGAACCGTACGAAGTAACATATAGTAGGGTATATATTGGGGTTATATTGGGAATGATGGAATGGAGAATGGAAACTACTATAGCGTAATAGGGTATATATCCCTGCGGATAACTTCAAGAGTCCGAGTCTCTAACATTTGGCGCTAGGGTCTTGGTACTAGTTCGAATCTAGTAAATACAACTAACATGAGGCCCTCGTGTCACTTTGGACCTGAAGGAATTTGGAGATGTATGTCGAACATGAATCCATGAGATGGAGATACTGTAATATTGACCCCAAAGCCCTGAACCCCATACTCGAACCTACTAGACATGGAGTAATTCCTGTACAAGCAAACAGGACGGACCCACAATGGGCCTTAGAAGGGCATTCTGCAGGGAGCCAGAAATTGTTTGAGGGTCTGTCCCGTTGAGGGGTTCCCTGGGCATGTATGTGAAGAAAGCATTACGGGCCCGACGCACAAAATCCTACACGTCCCTGTGCATCCCTATCTACCCCCTATAGACTTATACCCCTGTATGCCCATATTCACCCTGTATAACCTTAGATAACCCTATATAACCACTTATAGCCCGGCTATAGACCCTTTAAACCCCTTGAAATCTAAAGCCAAGCTTCCAACGTTCGTGGAATACTTGGCGCGCGCGAGAAGGTCGCGCACCTGTTCCTGTGACCCCACATATCCTCCCCAATCTAACCCTAAGCGCCCAAAAAAAAGGGCTAAAGGGCCCAAATACCATTGACATTCTTGTATTTGGGCCCTAAAATCCTGTTATTTGGGTTCTTGGACCCTTAGGGTAACATAGAAGCCCGTTTCACGGGTCACACAGGGTACATACTCTAGAGATGTGTAGGGTCCAGGGATTAGGGTATACCTTCCTCCAAAGTAGCATGGAACCCATGGAAGAAGAGCCTAAATAGGTTACGGCATTCAAAAAACGGTGCTTCCGAGGCTTACGGGTCAGCCTGGAGAAGGCAATTGTTGTTCCAGAAGGTAATTTTAAACTGGGGATTTGCGGGATTCTGGGTTGATCATGCTTAAGTTTTGGGATTTTGGTCGCTCTGCTCTGTTTTTAGAGGCTCTGATATGGGGCTTACAGAAATCTTTGTAAGGTCATAGGGATCGGAAGCCACAGTGCTTGGAACAAGGCTGCAGGGTGGCTTTTACCACGAGGACCTAAAGCCTAAACCCTCAAGATGATCAGCATATGTAAGCCTATAGGGTGAAGGTTCTTTAAAGAGATTATAGGGGGATATATACGGATGTTAGGGGATGATATAGGGGTATATATGATCCAAATAATCGGTTTGTAGGGCCCAAATACTTTAATGTCAGTGGTATTTGGGCCCTTCAGCCTTATATTTGGGTCCTTGGACCCTTAGGGTTTACACTTAATCCTATAATGTGAGGGCGTGCGTGTCAAGGTTTTGGGCTGGGCTTTGTTCCGCCCTAAACCCTTAATCTCTCAATCACATACCTTTTGCACCATGCAGCTTAACTGAGAATCCTCATCCATAAGCAGTGTCGAATGCAAAGATAAACCCAAGCGTACATTCTAAACACTTACCTTGAAGCCTAATATGGCCATGGCAGCCCAGATCTAATCGCGACTAATACTCCCAGCGTTCTATTACTCGACGAATACCCTATACAAGCGAGCAGCATTTTTCAAGCCCGAAACCCTAAGCTTTCCAGCTTCCTTTCCATTGTCCCTGAATACTCCCTTCATAGTCCCTACGTACTCTCCATATAATTTCTATACAAATCCTAAATAACCCCTGCATAATCCCCATATACTTCCTGCATAACCGCTACATACTCCCCATATAATCCCTTTAGAAGCCCCACATAATCCCCATGATCCCTACGCGTAGTCCCCACATAATCCCTTTACGATCCCTAAATGATCCCCATCAATAAAACCTCTACAGAATATCCATATAATCTCTACATAAGCCCCACCTTGTCCACATATAATCCCTGTACGCTCCCCCTGGAATCCGCATATACTCCCGGTATACTTCCTGCATACTCCCCCCATAATCCCGCTACAATCCCCATACTACCCCCCCTAAACCCTAGACCCGAGACCCTAAGCCCATACTATCCCCCTGTAATCCCTATATATGCTATGGTCTAAACTCCTAGTATCCCCCTTAATAACCCCTATAGTAGTCCCCTATATAACCCCCACTTAAGGAGTTTAGACTATGGCTCATATCTCAACAGAAGGAGACCTCGCTGTGTTTGGCGGGCTGCTTGATCTCAAAGAGCACCTGCACAGTACTCCCTCCCTAATATTATCGGGGTGTAGGGTTTAGGGTTTAAACCCCCACCCCTAATACTATATCAAAATATACAACATAATGGGAGTATTTAATATTTGAGGGGGTGGGGGGGGTTTAATATTAGGAGGAGGGAAGTACTTTTGCATGTTTTCTTTATAACACCCCTTTACACCTTTTCTAGTGCCAGCATCAATCAGCTAGGGGTTGCGCGTGCAATTGGGGTTCAGCGTTTAAGGGTTTACGGTTGAAGGGTTTAGGGTTTGAGGGCAAGGGTTCTGGTCGAAGTTGGTGTGAAAGAGCTCTCAAGGCGCCCCTCCATGCCGCGTCCGTACAGCTGAGGAATCTGAGGGTTGGAGCTTCAGGTATTTGGGGGTAAACCAAATTTTCAGGACAGGTAATCTTTTGTATGTAGCACGGGAGTTTGGCGGCATGGCTGAGGGTTTGATGCCTTGCTACATACCACTATGCGGTGCCACCAGAAGCTTGAGCAAAATGCGGCTGTCTAGGACCAGGTTCTTTCATTGCTACGGTAGCCAATGTTGGTAAGCAAGATTAAAACGCCCCCCACCTGTCGATACACGCTCGCGCCGGTATTCTGCAGCTGCCACTCCTCCCCCGCCTCCACAAAGAATACCTTGCAGGAATCACATGAAGCTGCCCTAGGCAGACAATACTCCAGAGCTGTACCGCAAGTCGCTTCAGAGTCCTACGCAAACAGAGAGGCGAGAAAAAAACACAAATTCGTTCCTCATGGCCTATGCTGTGCGACCCAAACCCTGAACCCAACACTGGAGGAAACCTCACAACCATATGTCTTCGGCTATATCTCGAACTATCGTCCCGGCATTTCCGGGAAATGGGGATCACCTTGGTTTAGGAAATCCTCATTTATTTTACAACCCCATGCACCATCCTGAGCGCGTTATGCCCCGTAGGCAAGGCAAATGCCGGAAATCCTACTTGAGATCCCTCAAGTTAAATTGCACACTCCTGGCCACCTACCTAAACCCTGTAAGTCCTTAACCCTAGATCCTACACGCTAAACCCTAAATCCCAAACCCTAAAGTCTAAACCCTAAATCCTAAAACAAGCAGCCTGCTTGTCGGCTACCTCTTCGGGGCCTTTACCTCGATCTCCGCAAGCACTGTCCACCTGCCAACGCCTGCAAGGAGGGTCCATGAAAACCATTGCGGTTTAGGGTTTAAAGTTTGTAGGGTTTAGGGTTGTAGAGGTTAGGGTTCAAAGGCTCCCTAACAAGGGTAACCGATGTACCTAAAGAAAAATTGGCTTTGCACCCGCTATTTTAGGATTTTTGCAAGGTCTAGGCTCCACTATTTAGGGGCCTATAACGGTTCAGTGTCCCAAACCCTAAAGCTTTGAATTCCTAGGGTTTAGGCTTGGCCAGTACTGTACTACGGACATTTCTCCAAATGGAGCCTCCAAGCAACACCAAGGGTAGAGACCATACTATTATGAAACCCTGAAACATAGGGATTAAAAAAGGAATGTACAACACCCACTCCATGATGTGTTCAATGATCCTATATATCTCATGCCCTCACTAGCTTGATCAAACTTGTGACGTGGGAGCTTTGCGGAAACCATTCTGAAGCACTAGCAAGTTTAGGGCTGCCGAATCTCAAAAACAGGACTTCACTTTATTCGTTCATTGAAAGAAACGACTGAGGCCCATTTGTCCCACCAACCCGAGAATCAGTTGAATCACTTCTACTAAATGAAATCAGACAGCCGAAAGGGGAAGGAAGACAACCCGTGTTCGGCATGGTGTTGCAGTTCTTCGAACTTAGGCCCAACGGCTTGCAAACCAATTGGTGTCAAGCACAGAGCGTGCCGTTGACCTCACATTTTCCCCTACCAACTAAAGATCATTTTTTCACGCTAGCTTGGTAAGAGCTTTGGCGGTTCTATGATTGCAGGTTCATGCAGTCGGTGCTCAGGCATCTGCTGATATCAAGCATCCTCTTCGCCCCCCAGAGTCACCCTCCAGTAGAAGAATCGAAAATGCTCAAGAACCAAATGCACATCCAACCTGAATCATGACCTTTCTATAAGCTTGTGACAATCCAGTTAGTGCAACAGCCGCACTGTGGGGCGAAGCCGCTACAAACTGCCCAATGCCAAATTCTTGGGGACCATTTTGCCAAGCAGCACTGTGGGCACATCGTGCAAAGCGCGGAAAGATCCCCCGGGCGGCAAGCGAAAGTCAGAGATTCTGATACCTCTGCTATGTACCCGGTGCTTCGTAGGGAATAGTAGTGCCCAATTAGCAGAACACGTTCCCCCCTGCATACAGGGTTTAACGGTTTAGGGGTACCAGGGAGTCATCCACTAGGTGGGGAGGGGGAGTCAAGATAGGAGGATGTCGACCGAACGCAGGACCCGTAACAGAAAAGTCTTGTGATGCTTGCCTAGCCCTTATCAAGCAGAATTCCCATTCAGATCCTGGAATTCTACATCCTAAGTCCTATCCTCAAATCCCTAAACCCTCAACCCTAAATCCCTAAACCCTACAAACCCTAAACCCTGGAACCCTACAGACCCTAAACCCTAGAAACATTAAACTAATGACCTTCTGGTCCTCAGTCTGGTGAATGATTTCAAGTCCAATGGCTGTGTCAGGGGTCTCGAGAAAACAGGGCCTTTGGGAATGATAAGGATAACGGTCTAGGGCTTAGGGTTTAGGATAATTATATGGGGGCTACAAAGGGGTTGTGGAATCCCGTGTTTAGGATTCAATATGAGTAACTTTTGCGAAGCCTGTTTTCCCTTCTGATTCCTATCACTCAGTCTGTTGGAATAGTCTTGGAATCCCCATCAGAAAGCACCAAAATCTTAGGGGTCTGGTAAGGGCAGCCGCATTTGCGTCTGAAGTCTACGAAGATGCCCCATGGGTCCAAGTACTCAAAAATTAGGATGTGGGATACCTAAAGCCACTGAGGGTTTCGCGGTGCCATCACTTCGGTATTTGAACCTTGAGGGAGTTCAATTTGGAGCGCCCCTGGACCCTAAACCCCAAATTCCAAGCGTATGCCCTGAATCATCCTGAATCCAGAATCCGAAGCCCTAAACCCTATAGCTCTTAAACTCTATGCCCTGAATCCTCAACCTGAATCACTCTCAAGCCCTCTGGACCCTAAACCCTAAACCCTTGCGCACCAAGCTGCGATCATTTTCGAAAAGAATACGCAAGGGCCCAGCGGACCGGTCCGAGGTCATCACCGCGGCCTCAACTTTCTTAAGGTTCACAAGAGTTCTCAATATATCTAGGGGCCTATATAGGCCTGTATCGGTTAATATAAGACTCTATGGGGCTTATGTAGGATGATTATGTATCTATGAGGTTTGGGGCTTTACTACTCAAAGTCATGGAGAATCAGATACAAGGAAACCCAAATTGGGTTATATACGGGCCTATAAGGATCGTAGTGCACGAGCCTATTCAATTGGAAGAGGCCTTCGAACATCTTCTACTAATCTACCATCTTAAGTGGCTATATAAGGATCATAATAACAATGATTGTAAGGAAAAGTCTTCCATGATAGTTAATGGTTCAAGCCTCTACATTTCTCATACTTACTTGGGAGTGACCACTCATATATCTGGGGTTATAGGTCTGAGCTGGGAGTGCAGCGAATTCGCTATAAGGACCTAAAGCCTAAACCCAAAACCCTAAGCCCTCAACGTGATTATGGGGAGAATTGGGCAGAGACTTCCTCGAGAAATCCACTCCTTCCTTCCCAGCTTTGGGGGTTCGGGTTTACGAGTCCGAGTACATCATGATCTTCGGGATCCCGGATCAAGGCTTCGAAGGGACCACAAATCATCCCACTACCTTATACACCCGTGTACATGCTCCCAATATGTATTTTTGGCCTGCGCCTATAGGGGTCTCCCTCAAGGCTAAGGGTCCCTCCTAAACCCGTTGGATCAGAACAAGGGATTACAAGCTATACGTGTGGAATTGCTACAAGGCTTCCAGCACTTCTCGGACCAGTGTTTTAGAACCTGTGGTTAAGGGTATGTGCCATGCGGGGCTCGGTATACTTCATACCGCCAAGATGAAAAGAAAAGCGCACATGCTCAGAACATTGCGCACCTTTCGGTTCAGGGTTCAGCCTTTCAAGTTTAGGGCTTCGCGTGGACTTGACGTCATAAGCTTCAGAGCTGAAAAAAGGCTTCGGGTTTAGAGTTCAAAGACCACCCCTTAACCCTGAACCCTATTTAACAACCGTCAGCACCCTCTGCACGGTCCGCTGCATGGAGCGGAACTGCAATCCTGCAAAGGCCTGGTCGGCAACAAATTAATCAAGCCTGGGGTTAGTGAGAATCGTATTGGCTGTTACAAGAACGACGGGCTGTACTGCAAAAAGTCCAAGATCTACTTCGGAAGAGGGGCATTGTAGGGGCTTCTTTGCCACGGGTTGCTTCAAGAGAGAATGCTTGTACTCCCAAACCCAAAGCCCTAATGGTGTTCCCGCATTGCAAGCAAAGGTTGCTTCACTGATAGCATGTCGACAACAATTCATCAATGTAGGCCATAGCGAGTCAAGATGCGTAGCATACTGTAGCGCCTAAATAGTTACCAATATCATGTTGAGGTCTATATCAAGTACGCTGAAACCTATGTATATACACAGCACACAGGGCCATGATACAGGTAGTTATCCCGGTAACGCGCCATATCAACAAAGTTCCCATGTCTTTTCCACTTGATTTGTGGATGATATCCCTAAACCCCCCTATATAACACTATATAATCCTTATATACTCCCTAGTTACAGTAGAATCGCTATGCAACCCCTTGCCATGGTGATGATGATGTAGGCATCTACAATAGTTCAAGAGCCAGACTTGCACCATCCAAACCTCTGGCATGGCCATGGTTAAGGCTGACAGCGGCGTCGTCAACCGCAATTCCAGAAGAAGCTCATAGGTTCGGGATTTGGGTCGAGTGGCATTATTATACCCAAGAATGGAGACTCGGATGGAAAAAGAAAGCTCGCGTCATATGAGCTATGCTTTAAACTCCTATTACTCCCCAATATAATCCCCCATATGACCCCCTTTAAGGAGTTTAGACTCAAGCTCAAGTAGGTTTCAAAACCCATCACCCAGAAATGCTACCTACACTGGGGCCCGAAGTCTACAAGCATGTCCTATCTTGGGCTAGTTGAAGCCTTACTCTAAGTTAAGGGTGCAAGTACCCAATGTCAGATACTCGGGATCTGGCTAATTATAATTTTTGTGCAGGGGTTGGGTAAGTATTTGATTGTTGGGTACTTAGTGTATTCCATAAAGCAGGGTACCCCGGCATGGACCCAACTATACTGTAACCCTTCTTCTATCAAGTTATCCCAAAAAGGCACACTAGTTTATGGACACTCCCGTCTGAACTTTGGTGCACAAAATGCTGCCCATACTGTTCATTGCGTGGCGGCTCCGTGGCCTGTTTCCTTTGTTGCTGTAGAGTCTAAGGACCCAGTTTTGCTAGGCCTTGTTTCGGCAGCAGATGGGCAAATGTCTGAGCGAATAGCAGCGAGTTTATTCATGACAGTATCACGTTTTGAGACGAGCTCATACACCAACTACTTTACTGCAGTCTCCTTAGACCTGTAATTAACAATATGATGTTCAATGATTCCTTAAGGTTATAGTATGAGAAAAATTACAAATAATTCCTGGCAAGACTACAATTTAATGTTGGTACGACTTTCTATGCCAGGCCCCCACGCAGCGACACAACATAACCATTCTGCAGCACACTGCAGCATGAACTCTTTGCCCCTTCCGGCCGGAATCCTGACTGAACATGTCTAAACCTCTCCCTCGAACCCTTGACCTCAACCTAGGACTTCAAATCAATATTAATTTCCATATCCTTTTCCATTACTACCCTTATTAACCAGATCCCACATATTTCCAACTCAGTTTCCATTTCATTTTACATTTCCTTCCATTCATTTGATTCCCCATCGATGGCGTAATGTCCTCAACTATCTAGCCACGGAACCGTCAATCCCTTTATTCCATCTAACTTTACATTTTCTTTGCAACTTGATTCTCCATTTTAAGAACCATGTGCCAAGCCTGGGCAGGCCAACCCACAAAGCAGCGAATGGCCGCCAAAACGAGCAGGATCCGCGGCAGCACGCGCATGCCCCAAGGAGCTCTTCAGGGGCAATGAGCACTACAGGGGAACTATGAATAAATGCAGTTTCAGGCCTTAAGGAGACCATGGGAGCAAAACTGCCAGGAGTCCCGAAGGTATACCGTATCATTCCCACTCTGCAGAAATGTCAAACAGCGGCTCGCATACTTGCCCTAGAGTTAGTTCAAGAAGACATCATGTAGAAGAAGGCATGACCGCACAACCTCAGGACTATGCATGTTCTTGAACAACCAGGTTTGGCAAGGAGGACGATCTCATTCAGGGAACCTCTTTGTTAATAGGGCTCAGAGGCCGAACATGCTGGCAACGCATGAAACCAAAGCACGGCCACGGCAAGCCCACTCCAAAAATTTTCCCCCACCCCCCCAAGGCGCTATACATGGGTGTCTGAAGGAATGGAAACGAAAATGGAGAGAACATGGAAACGACCATCTTGTTTAGGGGTTGAGGATTTCGGAATGTGATTTTCAGAGGTATGAAGACTTCGGGGAAACGAAGGGGATGGGGCGCCACTGCATTGCAGCCTGTCAACCCATAGGAATATTTGAAATCTGGCAACACGAACATGAACTGGCAATAAGTATACTCATGATGGTCGTACCGGCCGTCGAAGAAGTGCTGGCTCTTGCGGAGGTGGTTCTTTCCTTTTGCTCTTGCTCATACTACTACTGCTGCTGCTGCGCAGACGGCGGCGGCGGCTGCTGCTGCTGCTGTACTACCAATAAGAATCGTAATAATAGTCAGAAAGAATAAGAGCAAAAACGTAATAGTAGTAACAGCAATTGTGAACTAGTAGTACTCGCTGTAATTGGGCGGCTGATGCTTTATTTATTGGTGGCAGTAGCAGCCGTAGAACGCTCTGGTACAGGTTGCAATGCCCATGAAGTTGCAAAAAATCTGGGCGTTTACGGTTTTGGATTAGCTGGCGGGTTGAGAGTTTGCTGTTTAGGGCTCGGAGAGCCGTGTGTGGCGTTGAGGGTCTAGGGAAGCGCCTAGAGGTCCTTAAGAACGAAATTCCAGGGCCCAGTTTGGGCGTTCCATGTTTGTTTGGGGAGTGCGCGATTAGGATGCTAAATCTTGCGTTTCAGGCACGGAGTCTAAAATTCCCTGCTCTTTCAGGCGGCAAGTGGTGAGGAAGAAGCTATTCCATGCAACCTTGTCAAAGTCAAATAGGGTCTGTATACAAACGAAACAATCAATTAGATCCTTGTTGCAAAGGCGCTGTCAACAATGAAAGTATCTGCTTGCAACTCCTTCGGTATCCTTTACATACTGTAAGCCTGCCCTCACTAATCCTCGCAAGTTTTGGCAAGGCAAAGAGATTGGTGCGCAAGCCCACAGCAGTCAAAGTCAAACTTGAAGGGTCTACGGTAGGTAGGCATGCTCGAAACAATGGTCTCATCTGTACTGATCACTATATATGGGAAGCTGCAACACATTACGGCGTCATAATTTGGGCTTTCCCTGCCTAAATCCAAGCCCCGTAAATCACATTACGTTCCGCTTTCCGTTCAGATTTCAACTTTTCTGCTCCACTTGGATTGTCCACTATGCAAACCCCAGATCCTGCATAAGACTATTGGGTCAAGGTAGGACTTTCTTCAAGTAGGGGCGCTACTGGGGACTCTACGGATTCATGATGATTTATTGGTGGCGCTGTCAGCCCCTCCAGGCATCCCATCATAATACACAGCCCCTAAGTATGTAGGGCACCCAAATAAGGCAACATCATTTTGACAACCTTCCAGCTAATTTGGCGAGTAAAGTAGGGGATTGTAGAGATACCACAGGTCTTCCTTTTTGCGGCACATGCCGGTCACTTGCCGGTGTCTGTCGTGACGGTACGGAGCTTGTAACCTCGTCTCGCATCTAGTGATAAAATCTCGGGATGGGAGGTTCCGGTCGAGGGGCACACGGACGGGTTAAACAAAACAAGCAACAACATTATTCGCGGCTAGATGGTGCAAACACATCTGCACCAAAATCGTAAGCCTTTGTACATCCAAGAAGGTCTCAAGAAATTCTGGCGATGGACAGCTGACTTCATAACCAGAT